ACCTCCATGAATCAATCTAGCTCTTTTTTGAACCCTATTAAAATCCTAATCTTCACATCATCCTCTAGCAGGGAGTTCCACAGATTGACTGTACTCTGAGTGAAGAAAAACTTCCTTTTGTTTATTTTAAACCTGCTGCCTATTAATTTCACTTGGTGACTCCCAGTTTTTATATTGTGGGAAATAACTTTTCCTTATTCACTTTTTTCCATACTAGTCATTTTATAGATCTCTATAATATCCCCCCCCCTTACTGTCCTCTTTTCCAAGATGAAAAGTCCAAGTCTTTTTAATCTGTCTTCAAATGGAACCCACTCCAAACCCCTCATCATTTTTGTTGCCCTTTTCTGAACTGGCAAGTCCTGCCGTTGGCTAGCTCTCTGCTTGCCAGCAGCCTGGCCGTCAGTGGACAGTGGGGGAATGGCCCAAGTGCTAGGAGTGGGGGTGAATTTTCAAGGGTGGTGGCAGATGAAAGCTTCAGTATATATGGCTGGCTGGCCACTCCTTCATCAGTCCATCAGTGCAGCCCCGTTGTGTGCCAGCTTTTGGCCTGCAGGGTCCTGCCCGCATCCCGTTTCTAGCCAGTTCTGGCTGCTTGCTGCTCATTATGGTGGCTGGTGAGTGCGGACAGGAGCCAGCCAATTACAAGTCACCTCTGCTGCTCATCCATGGGCCCTTTACATGGTCCCCATCTCGCTCTCCTCTCTCTGCTTTGTTCCTTCACCCCCTCTCTCCAGCCCTGCTTCTCCTCTGCAATGGGGTGCATCTCACTCCTAGCACTGTGTGGAGAACCAGCCACTGGGAAGAACAATCAGCTCACTAATAGCCTGGCTGGCAGGCTCCTTCCTTCCCCCACTGCCTCTGGGTTGGCCAGCACCTCAGAAAGCTCAAGACCTTCTGGCAGGGAGCACTGGCCAGGAGGAGCCAAGCCCTGCGTGTGTCAAATCCCCACACAGCCTCTCTGCCCCCCAACTAAGATCTGGAGTTGCAGGTGGGGAAAGCAGTTCCCAGACTGTTCATATGCAGATCCTGCAGGTTTCACAGCATCCCCTCAGGCACCCTCTTCCCCCCCCTCCTGCCCTCAGGGAGCTCATGGCTGCTCTGTGCCCTAGACACTCTCCCAGGTTGAGCCACCTCTCCCAGCAGTTGGCTGAAGCCCCAGCAGTCAGATTTCCTAGGCCTCAGAGCACAGGGCATCCTTAGGGCATAACCTCTTCCTGCCGGTGCTGTAGCAGGGGACAGGAAGTGGCTGAGTTATGTCAGTGGCCAGCAGCAGCCTGCAGGTGTTGTTACCATTCCACACTGCGTGGGCAGGAAGGAACAAGCTGTTTCATGCCACTGGACAGTGGGGGAGAAGAGGAAGAGATGAGCTCTGCAGAGACACAGGCCAGCTCAAACCTCCATGCCGTGGCTGGAGGCTGCTGCAGGGGATAGGGGGCTGTGACCCTGCGTGCCGTCCTACATATTTCCTTGGGAAGACACAGAACCAGATACCAAGAGGGATGGGTCCATTCTAACGAGAGTGCTGGGCAGGGAAGATCAGATCAGTGTGTGTCTGACCCCTCCCTGTGTAAACTCTAAAAAAGCCTTAAAGACAAGAAGGTACATAAAAAGAATCCAGCTATTCAGGATTTCTTTCAACGGGGTCTCAGACAGCTTGATGTTAGTTTCAATGTTTGTACTGCATAGTTCTGATGGACTGTCATTGAACTCAGTTGAAGACAAGTGATTTGACCAGGTGTCCCATATTCAGCATAAGGAAATATGATCAGTCTAATTTTACACACACAATATAAGCTTTCCTAGCCTCCATCTTTACTATTCCTTAGGTGAGAGAAGCAGCAGAGTAAGTTAAAAAGAAGGCTACATACCTACTTTTTTTTTATCAGGGTTCCACATCCCATCACTGTGAGTGTGAGGAATGCAAGATCGGGCCTATTATTTTCATTTCTGTTAAATTAGGCTTGTCATAAGCTGTTCTGAATTTTACTTGACTCAGTGTTCATAGAATCATAAAGCTAGAAGAGACCTCAGGAGGTCATGAAGTCCAGCCCCCCGCACAAGGCAGGACCAATGCCAACTAAATCAACCCAGCCAGTGTTGTAAGGGCATAGTTGTGTATTCTCATTTTTTATTGTATCGTGTACACACTATCAGTCCATGGGCAAGATTATCTGCTTGTGCAAATTGGCAATACCTGATTTATACTAGCTGAGGAACTTGCCCCTTTCTAAGGAATCTAAGGCTACGTCTACACTGGCATGATTTTTCACAAGAACTCTTTTGCGGAAGGAAAAGTTCTTGTGCAAAAACTCTTCCAGAAGAGAGCGTCTACACTGGCATGTGCCTTTGCACAAGAGATGTGCTTTTGCGCAAGAACATCCTTGCCAATGTAGATGCTCTCTTGCACAAGAAAGCTCTGATGGCCATTTTAACCATAGGGCTTTCTTGCGCAAGAAATTCATGTTGGCTGTCTACACTGGCCTCTTGCGCAAGAACAGTTGCGTAAAAGGACTTATTCTTGAGTGGGAGCATCATAGTTCTTGCGCAAGAAGCCCTGATTTCATACATTAGAATGTTGGTGTTCTTGCGCAAGAACTTGCGGCCAGTGTAGCCAGGCAGCAAGTTTTGGCGCAAAAGCGGCTGGTTTTGCGCAAGATCACACCAGCGTAGACACAATCTTAGAGTTTGTCTACACCAGTGTTCTCTCTAAGCTGCAGGACAGCACAGCTTCACGGGTGATTTATCAGCCCTGCCCAGCCAGTCAGCTCCCTGCACAGAGCCCTGAGCCTCTTACTGGGCAGGGCTTATTAATCCCCTGTGAAGCAGTGTTGCAGTGCAGCATAGAGGGAACGCTGGTCTACATTGCACTAAAAATCCCAGGGCACCAAGTCTCAAACTCCAGGTCAACTGCCTTAGCCTTGCAGGGCTGGGCCTCCTGGGCTGAAAATTGATGTGGCACTGCCCTCCAGGCTGAGCCCAAACCTCTACACTGCAAATTTTAGTCCCGCAGCCCAAGTGAGCTGACCTGGGCCAGGGTCTGGACTTTTAGTGCTAACAAAAGGATTTATTTGAGTGTCAAGTTTGCTGTGAAGTCTTCCATCACTCTGTCCATGCTCAGGTGGAATTGTCACCCCTGCTAATTCCACAATTCTGAAGTGACCCAAAGCTACACTGATTTGTGATGGGAATCTGACGGACTGAACTAAAATTCCCTTAATAAACTGATTGAACTGGGGGGGAGGGGCGGGAGGGAGGAAAGGAGAGAGTGATTTGAAAAGGAAGTGATGATCTGTAGTAATCTGATAAATTTATGGACTAAGAGAAAACATTCAAGAGAGTAAAGAAAACTGCTAAACCTGTGAGAAGTAGAACATTAGTCTGCTGAAGGTGTCTGACTTTGAAGACAGCCCAAATTCTTAAGAACCAACTTCTTCCCCAAGCAGTTGATTATCCACCACAATCCCTAAATCTTTTTCTGAGTCACTGTTGTTGTTGTCAAAAGGTCTAATGCAATTCTTGGATATGTAAACAGGGGAATCTCAAGTAGGGATAGCTAGATTATTTCCCCTCTGTATCTGGAACTGGCATGTTGGGTGCTGGAATACTGTGTCCATTTGGATGTCAGTAGTTCAAGAAGAATGTTGATAAACTGTAGAGGGTTTGGAGAAGAGCCAAGAGAATGGTTAAAGAATGAGAAAATATGCCTTCTGGTGCTGTTTAGCTTAACAAATAATAAGTCAATGGGTGACTTACTGTCTATAAATACCTACATAGAGAAAAAATATTTAATAATGGGCTCATCAGTCTAGGAGAGAAAAATACAACATCATTCAGTAGCTGGAAGTTGAAGCTAGATGTTTTCAGATTGTAATAAGGCATACATTTATAATAGTGAACATAATTAACCATTGGAACCATTTACTAAGGGCTGTGGTGGAGTCTCCCTCACTGACAATTGTTATATCATAATTGGATGTTTTTCTAAAAGATATCCAGTAGGCATTATTTTGGGTGTGGTTCCATGGTGTATGTTATAGAGGAGGCAAGATGATCACAGTGATCCCATCTGGTCTTGGAGTCTACAAATATATATTGCTGGACTCGTGTCAAGATTACTTGCACAGAACATCTTGTTCTCTGTATTTGTCAGCTTTCGGGCCTATGTGAGCTTTTATGCAACCACCCAACAAGAATACTGGTTTGATTGAAGGCCCAGATTTCAGGGAGGTCTCTAGCTTGACATCTTGCTGCCCTGTTCTCAAGACACAGTCCTCCATAAGGTCACTGGCACAGCAACATTAACACACTGGCCTGACGTTAAGGTTACTTGTCTCATGTCAAAGGGCAATCTTCTTTGACACCAGTGGCTGAGTACTTCAAGCATGGGCTAGTGCAAAAGTGCTGGCCTTTGGCTTACCAACTCAGCAGAGAGAAATCTGTCTGCAAGAGACAGAGTTTATGGCAACTGGCCTCTGAGCATGACACTTACTTCCAGAAGAGCCCAAGATAACCACAAACCTCGGAGCAACATGCAAACACTTCTTCCATGCTCTCTCAATTCCTCAGTAACTTAGAGAGGGGGAAAAACAGACAGACCCTTCATAAAACATAATTTGTAAGTTCGTGGACATGGTAAAAGAACCTGTGAAGTCCTAATATTCTCTCGTGCATGTAATAGGGCAGAAAATCATCAGCGCAAGTTTTCTGAAAAATCTGTTATTGAGACAAATCAAAGGCATGTTCTTGTGTTTGCTATGGTGATTCTGAGGTTCTTAGAGGGGGAAAAACAGACAGACCCTTCATAAAACATAATTTGTAAGTTCGTGGACATGGTAAAAGAACCTGTGAAGTCCTAATATTCTCTCGTGCATGTAATAGGGCAGAAAATCATCAGCGCAAGTTTTCTGAAAAATCTGTTATTGAGACAAATCAAAGGCATGTTCTTGTGTTTGCTATGGTGATTCTGAGGTTCTTCATTTCTGGGTTTTATTTTACAGCAAGCTAGAAAACCTTATGATGTACGAGATGTTATTGAACAGTATTCTCAGGGTCATCTCAACTTGATGGTGCGAATCAAGGAGTTGCAAAGAAGGTATAGCATAAAGTTCTCTATCCTAAATTGTAAATGTCTGTGAAGCATGTTCTGATATATAGTACAGTAACCTGGGAATGAGATTTAAGGGATTATAAGTGACATGTAGGACTGCAAAATTACAGAAATACTGTTTGATGTAATTTACACTAAAGGTTTTTATTTTGATACGTTTTTAAAAAGTTGAAATCGTATAGAACCAATGATCTGAACCAACTTATTATTTGTATTGCTTTAGTGTTTACATACCCCAAACATAGATCAGTACTCCAACTATGCCGGACCCTATGCAAACACAGAATAAAAAGACAGTACTTGCCCCAAGGATCCTGTAATTTAAGAATACTTAAGATGGATACAACAAAGGAAGCCTCAGGAAGCTATGAGACATTACTGATCATCATGAAAAGTGTTGGTTGTTGCTAGAATCTATAAAATGGCTAAAGAATTAAGGCACTCAGATAGAATTGATATTTTCTTAACTTCTATGGCCAACTTTGGATCAAATGAAGTTGTTCATTTGAACTGTAAAGCAGAATGACTTTAACACGGCAACCTATTATTTAGAGAGGAAGTTTTTCAACTGAAGAAAGTGAATATTCTGTTGTTTAAAATCTGCGGAACAGTTACCTTCTGTTAACAAACAATATAATTTGTTTCTGTTTACAGACTGGACCAATCTATAGGGAAGCCATCTCTCTTTATTTCTGTCTCAGGTAAGATGATACATTTTAATTCCTGTAGTAAATGGAGACTTATCAGTTACAAGCTTGAATTGAAAAATGTCTATTGCATAAGTATATGGCTAAAAACCACAAAAATGTGTAGAACATTCAGGTACTATGGTGATATGTGATGTATCTTTTTGTATTTTACGAACATGAGAGCTAATGCATAGAGAGGGTAGTGGACTTCCCCAAGGTAGCACCATAAATCGGGAGCCTTGAGTCCTACCCCCCTGCTTTAATCATTAGACTATACTAAATAACAGTATATTTATTTATTTGTTTTGAGATATGTTTGAACATATATAGAGATCATCCAGTTGGCCTCTGACAGCTATTTGTTAATGTCATTTCCGGTTTTAAATTTTTTGAAAAAATGCAGATAAAACATTCTCTATGCACATTATCAAGGTGGTTGTAGAGCTTTCCACTGTGGAAGTTTGTTTTTTCAATGGTAATTAGAAACATAAACTAAACTTAAGAACAGCATTCTCTTGGTTTAAAGCATAACATTAAGATTGAAAGTGCCCTAGACTAAAGAGCTATTAAAAACTTGGTATGCACTATTGCTATAAAAGAAACAAATGCTACTTGTATTAAATAAAATTATCATCCTAGCAAAGGTGTTCAATTATTCTGCACTGGTGGACTAGTTAAACACACCATGTTATGGCTTAATGCTATATTATTATAACAACGTGTGTTCATTTAAAAATGTGCCTTGCTCCACAGAAAAAAGCAAAGACCGAGGGAGCAACACGATTGGTGCAAGGTTGAACAGAGTGGAAGACAAGGTAGGCCTGAATGGTCATGGATGGAGATGGTGCATTATTGTACCGTGCTGTGTTTCATAGTATTTCGGAAAAAACATAGGATTTAAAATGGAGTAACATGCCTGGCTTTTCCAAGTGAGGGACAATCGTTGTAACACTGGAAGTTGTGTTTTCTTCATGATTGTTTTAACAGCACAGATGAAGAAATCAGATTTTTAATTAATCTCAGACTTTTTTGTTACTCACTTGGTTTTTGATTATTAATGGTATATATTACACATGTCTTCATGCTCTACTTCCTTCCTCCATGATAGATAAAAGGCTCTGTTCCTTTAATACTCTTGTATATTACAGTCCCAAGATTTCTCTTTGATCATTGCTCTGTTGTTTATATAACTCCACCTACTATTCCTTAGAGAGAGGGGGAGCAAATGTTGTTCTGTCCTGGTTTTCATTCTTTATGACAAATGGAGTTTTTCCTTTCAAGTGACATCAAGCCTGGGGGGGAGGGGAAAGCTGTTCTATAATCACAAATTAAGTGCTTTGCTGCAGCCCTTTATTTCAATGCTAGCTACACATGATGAGCTAGACAGAAAGATAAATACCTATGTCAAATTCAGAAATATAGAATTGTCAATTTTTTTTAAGGATTGACACAGACTTAAGCATTGATTGGAGCCTTCCCTGTCTTTCAGTAAATCTTTTTTAAGATTTGCAAGGGTTCTTTTAATTTCATGATCGATTTCACTCATTCAGTGTGCTGGTATGAGTATAACTAGAAGCACAGTTTATGAAGTATCTTGAGAAAAGAAGCTCTTACCGTAATTCTAGCAAACAAAACACCTAATCTACGGCCATTCACCAACGACTTGTTTGTTTTTCACTTAGTTCTCCATCATACACCACTAAAATGTAAATGATTGTGCTCAGAGGATTACTTCTATGTAGTGGTGGTGTATGGTGTTTTAAAGAAAATATATGGATTAAAGAGTTAGGGTCAGAGATGGTGTGTGAAGAAGTGTGTACTACACAATGGTAAGGCAGTGTAAGGCCGCATAGGCACCCAAAGAGGTTTTGCAAATGTAAGTGCTATGCAGTGTGCTTAGAAATGATACACACAAATTCAGCCCATTTCTCAAAAATCTGGCCTTCTGCTTATCCTTGTATATCCTCGAGGTGGATTTAAAGATGTCGAACATCACAAACATTGAACAAGTCTCACCTTGGCAATTAATTTGTTACCAAAAGATTAGGTAGATTCTGGGTGGTAGTATTTGGAAACGCACAGTTAAAAGATTTTGAGTTGTAACTGGTTCAGAAAACAGAAATCCACTTTCTAAATCAAGTATATTCAGACTGAAGCTTGCAAGCTGCAGCAACTCCTCAAAGTGCAGCTCTCTGCAGTGGATGATTTAAAAATTGTGTGTGATTTAATTATTAATCCGTTTAAGTTAACCGATCTGGATGCTTTTACTTATAAAAACATAAGAATGGTTATACTGGTTCAGCCCAACGTTCCATCTAGCCCAGGATCTTATCTTTCGACAATGGGCAAAAATCAAGTGATCCCTTCCCAGTCTCCCATGCCCAGCTTTTGACCAACAGAGGCTAGGGACACCATTCCTCCTCATCCTGGCTAGTTCTTTTTCGAGCCTTGTTATAGTTTTGGCCTTCACAACAAATTAAGTTATTAACTTGCACTAAGTTATTAAACAATACAATCCTACATATATTCATCTCCTGTTAATTTGGAGTAACATTTTCAAAAGTGTGTGAATATCAAAGGAGACTAAGTGCCATTTTCACATGTGGAGATGATCAAAGTCACAGGTGCCTAACTCTTGTTGAAAATTAGTTTCCACTTGAGCCTTTGAAAATCTGCTCAGAGTTCTAAGTTTCATTAAAAGTCAGTAGAACGTCAGAATCTTTGTCCCAATTTCAAAAGTGACTTAGGTTTCTTAGATGCTTTTGAAAATTTTACACTGGATCTTTATTTTTTTGGCAGTATTTTCTAAGGATTCCGTTTTGTTTTGAAATCTATCTTCAGCATGTTGTTTAGCATTTCTTTAGAGAAAGGCAGAAGATGTTCTCAAATTCTTCCTGTGGCTGCAGTAAAAAATGATTTCATTATAGCTTGTATATTGACATAGATACTACTATATTCAACAGCATATTTGCATTGTCAAACTGAAATGTCTTTATTTTTTCATCTCACCACTACTTTCAGATAATTTTTTTGTATATAAGACTAGCTGTATTGATTAGATAATGTACATCTCTGAACCCATCAGATCACCTAATAAACTTCAAAGAAACTAGATCTGATACTTAAAAACAAGGCTAAAATTTGCCCCCGATCGACCAAAATTAAATAAGCAGTATTTTTATACTTCCGTTACTCGACATAACAGTCATAAACTCAAGGTGTACTGATTGATAAGGATGTGCAAATAGTAATTAATTATGTAGAACAGTAATACTCTGACCTCAGTGGTTTAGGAACCAAATTAGGAATCATTGTTACCCAAAAGAGCCCCAGTAGTGTGAATTCATGGTTTCATTTACTGTATATTCAAATAATATGACAGGGGAAATATGATACTTCCTAAGTAGGGTAGATAAACACTCCATCTAATACATGTGTTTGATAGGTAACTAATATGCTTTTATATAAAGAGATTCAGACTCAGATTCTCTGTTGCACTGGAGGCAATCGCTGGTGTAGGGCTCTCGTGAAGCTGGTTATAGCTCTCTGATTCTCAGGTTGCTCCAATGGTCCTATAGCCTGTCCTCCAGCTGGACACAGAGGCTGGCTAGCTCCCACTCATGGTCTGCCCATGACCGGGGAGTGGCATATAAGCTGGCTCTGTCCCAAATCAGGACTCCCCATGCCAAGCAATTTCTCCCTAGATAGTTTCCAGCTTCTTTGTGCCAGCAGGAAGGGTACCAAGGCAAGTTGCATCCATTTTTCAGTCTCTGTCTGCAGAAGAGGTATTCGAAGTTACTACTGGCATATAGCATAATAATAGCCAAAATATCAGAGGTGAAATAATTGTCCCATTAAAGCAATGGTAAAACTCTATAGAGATCAGTGGGGCCAGGATTTCACCTAGGTAGTTTGCTTTTTCAAGTTGTCTCTTCACCTTATAGACCACTTATCTTTTTGGGTTCTTTTTAGGCCTTTTCCTGTCACTGCCGACAAAGCATTTATACTTGTCTGTAATGGTGAGACAAGCAAATCTGTTCAAGAGCTATGTTGCTTCACAAATAATAGTATGCGAAAGAAAAAAAATTGGTGTATTAATAAGTGGTTCTTATCTATAGTTAAATGTCACCATTTTTGCCAGCAGTTATCATGTATTATAGAAAAATTCTGCACTCTTGACAAAAAATCTGAATTTTCGTGCATTTACCTTCCACCCAAAAATACATTATTTTCTAGAAATTAGGAACAGTTGGCAGGGAGAATGGTTTCCACCAGCAAAAACTACCTTAAATTTTCATGTAAAACACACCTTTGTTTCCATTAAAATAAATATTTTTTTCTTCCTGTGGTGGAGTTTGGCACCTTTCATGAGATCTCTAAGGGGAAAACAAATGCCCCTTAATATTTCTGTATAAAATATCACCCATCTATCCTGTGTACTGAATGAGGAATGAATCCTAGGGAAAATATTGTATATGATCATATGAATCATAATGCATATGCACAAGGGGGCTTGTCGCAGCATATTCACTCCCTGTCTCTTAGGAGAAGGTATGCCAGGGTGTGGACACCACCTAGTTGGCTGTTGAACCTCTGGCAATCTCTCTCTTTCTGTCAAGGAGCACCAGCCCTTGGTCCAGGGTAGTACTGCCTAAAGGCTAGCTTCCATGAGGAACAGTCCATTAACACAGGACAGCCTGGCCTGGTAGCCAAAGTCAGTAGGGGTTGTTGACCCTTTAACTCAGGGCAACACAGCTTGGTAGCCCAAGTCCATCAGCCCCTGTCTCAGGGCAGTATGGCCTAACAGCCAGAGTCAGTTGTTAGGCTTTATGGCCCTGGGATAAGGGCTATCAGCTAGAGTCCATGGGGTTTGGCGGCAACTGCCTCGGTAGGGGGACCTGGGCCCACCCTACTCTACTGGGTCCCAATCCAGGGCACTGTGAGTGGCAGAGTGGTCTGCCACTCCCTCAGCAGGGAACCCAGCCAAAACTTGCCAAGTGCATCCTCATTGGGTTACTTCCTACCAGTGCTGGTGGGTTGGCATCCATGTGGTCGCTGGGTCTTCTGGTTCCCCAGCAACTGCTTCTTCCTGTGGCTCCTCTGGGGCTGTGTACCAGCGATCTTCTGGGACTCTGGTTCACGCTGTCAGGGTTGCTAGCTGGTAGAGCCCTGAGCTCCAGCTGGAGGTCCTTCTCCATCTGAGGCCCACCAAGACTGAGCTGCTTACTGGCCTTTTATGCTGCCCTAGCATTTGGAGCATGCCCAGTCTGGGTGTGGGGGTGGGGCGAGACCTCCTCCAACCACAGAGTTTTAACCCCACCTGCTTCAGTGAGGGGTATGCACACCCCATCACAGGGCTAAATTAAAGAAAAAACAGTTAAAAAAATCACCCCAAACACTTTAAATTTTTCAGTTGTGGACAACTGAAAATACACTCTTATAATAGCATCAGGCAACCTTAACTGTAAGTGTCACTATAAGGCCTATAATAATAAGAGTTACAACTCACAATCTGATATGTATTCAGAACACATTTTAGTTTAGCTACTGTTCTGTGCTACATAAGAGTCAGAATCGAGTGCCTTGTCCTTTGAAAGATGAAGAGAAGTCAAGAACCCCATCCTGTCCATCTGTTCCTCTAACTTGCACCTCAGAGGATGTGGCTGAGTAGGAATGCAGCAAGAACAAATCAATTCATTTGCAGTGGACAGAGCTTTCTTTTTATCCTGTAACATCTGTGAATGTCCAGCCCTGCTGGCAGCCTACTCACAACCCATGAAATCTGGCTGCTGCTGGCTGGCTACCAAATGCAAAA